GATTCCCTTAGAATCAATCGATTCATGTTGTTGGCGATCTTAGATTCCCATTTTCCTCCGGGAATCTGACATTTTTCCCGAGACAAATTTTCAAATCGGAAGAACTAGTCAATCCTCGGAGAAAAACCATTAGAGCCACCATGGATTCTATCTATTCCGATGTATTGTATTTCCTAAAGAATCCTTCGTTTACGGAGACATTCGTCGACATATTACTCTGCGCAGTTCCGATTTGGCTCGCCGTCATGATCGGTTTATTAATCGGATGGTCATGGAGACCAAGATGGACCGGTTTGATCTACCTAGGGTTTCGATCTAAGCTTCGGTTTCTATGGACTGCACCTCCTGGATTTGGTGCTCGTCGTCTTTGGCTTGCTTTTACAGCTCTCTCTGCTTTCTCCGTTTGTCGTACCATCTGGTCAAGGCGCGACACGACCGCCGACAAATCCACGACCGGTTCAGCTTCGTCGCAGACACCTGGAGAAGAGACTCTTCAAACTGATGAAACAAGGTTCGTATATATGTTTTGTTTCTCTGAAATCTTCAGAGTGTTCTGTTTCGTAACAGAGAGTGTGATTTAGAGCATTTAATCATAGGAATTTGACTTCCGTTTTAGCCATAGCTTTGATTCTAATGACATTGGGGAAAAGCAATGGTTCATGTTTGGTTAAAATATGAGGAAAAATGGATGGTTGGATTTTGCAGAGATGGCGATAACACGACGGTGAAAGAAGAGGATATTGTGACAGAGAGTGATTTAGAGCATTTGTTAAAGTTGCTTGAAGTTGGAAATGCAAATATGGAATGGCAATCAATGATGGATAAGACGACTCCGAACATGAGTTATCAGGCTTGGCGTCATGAGCCTGAGGTAATCTACACTTTTAACTCTTTCTTTGTACTGAAGGAATCGAGCGAAGATTTTTTAGTAGTAGGTGTAACTCGCTCGGAAAAAAACGGATTCTTTTAAGAAACTTGAATGACATTTGACTCAGGAGACAGAGGATTTCCTTGTAGTTTTCCTGTTTTAAATGATGGGTTTCAATGAGGGATATAGTTTTCTTCGAGATGGCCATGTACAATCATTGTGGTTTCTAGTCGTATTCATCGTGTGTCCTTGTTTCGCGTTGGTTCCTTTTGGGCACCATGTGGTGAACTGTTGCAATTACTCCTTTCTGTGGCATTTTTATGACATTTTACTTTGAAACTGGTTTGTGCTATTTAGTCTGAAAGGTTGTATTGCTTGTCAGACAGGTCCTGTTGTTTATCGCAGTCGAACTGTGTTTGAGGATGCAACTCCAGATATTGTTAGGGATTTCTTCTGGGATGATGAATTTCGACCTAAATGGGATTTTATGCTTGCCAACTTCAAAACTTTGGAAGAGGATACTCAGACAGGAACAATGATTGTTCAGTGGAGAAAAAAGGTCTTTGGACTTATGATATTACTTTGGTCTTCTCGATAAACTTTACTCCCACATTACAAGCTGTTGTGGTTACGAATTTCTTTTGCCTGCAGTTTCCCTTTTTCTGTAGTGACCGAGAGTATATCATTGGTCGGAGAATATGGGAATCTGGAAACAAGTATTATTGTGTGACCAAGGTAATGTTATACTCCAATAACTTGTCTTTGCCTTCCACGGATCGAAGTGTTTAGTATATACCTGTAGGGAATGAACATCTAAGTTCAGCTCTGAGAAGCCGAAATGCTGATCCTACATCTCTGGGAGATACATTTTATGGATATGTAACGTAATACGTGTTGATATTGTAGGGAGTTCCTTATCCAGCGCTACCAAAGCGTGATAAGCCGAGGCGTGTTGAGCTTTATTTCTCAAGTTGGATTATCAGAGCAGGTAAGCGTTTGGAATGCAAGTTTTCGATTTTTTTAAGTTGGCATATAATTTGATTTTTAAGCAAATACAAAACAAACGCAGTTGAATCTCGAAAAGGAGATGGACAACAATCGGCTTGTGAAGTATCCCTAGTCCACTATGAAGACATGGGAATTCCAAAAGACGTAGCAAAGTTAGGCGTCCGTCATGGCATGTGGGGAGCAGTCAAGAAGCTAAATTCTGGTTTACGAGCCTACCAAACCGTTAGAAAGTCAGACTCGAGTCTATCCCGGATTGCCCAAATGGCAAGAATCACCACAAAACTAAACATGGATTCTGCAGAATCATCTACAAATGACGAAGACAGAAGCAGAGCAATGGACTATGCAAGGAGACAACGGGACAATTTGAGAATGGACTGGAAATGGATTGTTGTTGGAGGTGTTGCATTGGCTTGTGGCCTTCACACTGGGATCATTGGTAAAGCTTTACTAGCTGGAGCTGGCCAGAGACTTGCTCGTAGGTGAAAAGCCTTGGTCGTATTCTTATTATCAACTTCCCTTGACCGAAAACGAGAAACATATACATATATAACTAAGGGAAATGTATTTTTTTCTTGCAATTCCGATGAGAAGGGCATGTGGTTTTGATGGTGAACCGTGTAGAGTAGTAGCTTGAAGCTATGGAGTCTAAATTGTTCGAGTCCTATCTTGGTACAAAGGAGAGTTGAGATATGTGTTTTTATAAATTATATGAATCTACAAAGCTCCTAAAAAAGCTCAAAATCTTTGCATGTTACACACTAAGGATCTCTCACTGCATTGATCATCAGAGAGCAAGAGGTCAAATACTATCTCCTGCACGGTGCACACAAGCCGTTCTTTATTACCTCTTACGGTTTCAGATTAAGTTCCTCGTTCTGCAGATCTAAAAAGGTTGGTCCTGGTGTTGTGGAGGATGCAGAATCATCACCAAACTCAGTGTCTGATTCATCTGAATCCCACTCCTCATCATCTGAATCAAATTCAACGTCAGATAGTGAACTCTTGGCCTGAGTCTCACCTTCTTCACCATCTTCTTCCTCATCTTCATATATATCTGAATGGATGTCGTCTCCTCCTCCCTACAACAACCGAAGAGCGCCATGGAATGTGATCAACACACAAAAAATCATGACGGTGAAAATTCAAGACAATGAAGTAATATTAGGGTAAACAAATCATACATCTGTTTCTTCGGTCTCCTCGTCACTGGAAGAATAAGCCATGTCAAGCTTGTTGTATAACGATTCATCTCCCTTGTCTTTTACGAGTTCCACTTGTTCCTGACAGAATGGATTCAGGGTCTCGGGTTAGTTAACATTTCGGAGCAAAAAAACGCATTTTTTGTTGGATCAGCAGATGATACATAAATAGATCCATACAATTTCAGCTCTCAGCTGCTCTGATCTCGCCTGTACTGCCTCAATGTGTTTTATAAGAGCCTGTTGAATGCAAAGTAGCCAAATAAGAAAGCAAAGTAACTGATTAGACTCGAGTGTTGGTCATTGACGTAGAATTTAATGATAAGTTTGCAGATTTTGAGATGAACAAACGTTTGTTGCATATTTGTATCACAAACCTCGCGTCTTTGGAGCTCAAGAGAACGCGCCAAAGCTTTCCTCTTTGTCAAGAGGTTTTTAGGCCTCATCTCGGAAGGACGCTTATAGCTTTTTCCTCTATACACGATAATGGCATACCCTTTGGAAACCTTGTCAACAGAAACCAGGATACCTCCACTCTCGGCTTCAAGGGCCATTGCCACTTTCTTTGCATCCTCAAAACTTTTAGCCTTCACAAGAATCTTGATCAGCTCCCGGTATTTCCAGTGCAAGTGCATGTTCTCCACAGTACCATCAAACACCCCTCTTCGACCTGAAAGCAATCAATTCAAGTTTCTCAGATGAGTACACATCCTAGAGAGCACATAGGTCAAACATACTTGACTACATCTGCCTACACATTAGTACATTACTAACAGATAGTTTACCAAGAAGTAAGAAAGCGTTCATTCTCAGTCCGAGCTTCCGGAACATAAATCTCTCTTCATCAGTTATGCCCTCAAGGTCTGCTCTCTGCTCTGCTGGCTTAAGAGATTCCTCCACCTTAGCCAAAGCCCGTTCAGCTTTCATCAGCTTTTTCTCAGCCTAGAAGGATTTATCGAAAAGTCATAATCAGCTTAGCTCAAGGAGCAGCCTTTTAACAGAATATGTGAAATAGAACTTGACAGGTAAGTAAAGGCTCAAGCCAGGCACTCACAAAAGCAAGTTTCCTTTCCAACTTCCTGACAAGATTTGCAGACCTCAGTTTCTCAACCTCTTGTTTCACTTCCTCCACATGATCATCGTCATCCAGATTCTTTCCCCATTTACTAGTTGCATCAAGAGTTTCTCCAAGAGTACCAGTAGAAACAAGGTTTTGATTAGCTTTAATACTTGGGACAACAAGAGCTGATGATGCTCTAAGACGTGCCTGTTCCTCTTCGTCTTGAAAAGTCCTTGCAAGTCTCTCCTTCTCCACCAATGCTTCAGCTACTTCTGGTGACAAAAAATTCTTTCCTCTGTAGAAAACCAAGAAGTCTTTGTTCCTAGAGAGCAGCATACCTCCCGTCAATCTCTGCAGTCACTTACCAAGATCACGATATCAAACATTCAGCATCAAATACAGACACCTTCTAATGATATCTACATAAATATAAAAACAATTAAAATATATTCGCATGTTACTCGGCTATGAAACATTACTACCTTGATGTCCTCAGCCATTCTCTCACTGGTAGTCAAGTGTACACCACGTTTAAGTGCAACCTTAGCAATCAAACTCTTTTCCCATAACTTAACCATGGCTGTTGCCAACCCTTGCAGCTGTCTACTTCTACCTGTAGATCAAAAGAAAATCTCACTCTTCAAAGACCTTATTAGGCTCTACAAAAAAATCACAAAGAAAATCCAATACCTAAAGCAAAGTGTGGAGGAAGAACTTTGCCAAGTCTTCTTAAAGCCGTTGCCTCCTTTGTTCCCACAGTTGATCTCACTCCATAAGGAAGTACCCTGAAAGGAGGTTCGTAACCAGGAACGATTCCTGGAAGCAAATCAGCATCAACAGGTAACGGATAACCTCCCTGCCAGTCCGTGTACCGAGGACCAAGACCCTCTAACAGTTCATTTATCTCATCTTCATATTCGACTTCTCGTTGAGATGTCCTGTCTTTTTTTTCCACAATGGTTGTCTCCTTCTCTAGCTGAGGAAGATGCACTTGTTGGATATTATGATCCACTGTACTTGTTGGTAAGATAGACGGTGACGTCTCTGCTCTTCTGTATACTTGCTTGTTATGGGATGCATCCCTGTTGATGACACCTTTGTAATTGTACAAGGCAATGGAAGTCCCTGACCTCCAAATCACCAAACCACCGGTTTTTCTCTGCCACAGTGAATATACAATTAGTATTACACTTGACCATGAAACAAAAATTACTTTTCAATTCCTTTGACTTATCATTTCAACACTCCAAAGATCAAGCCTTTGTAAAACAAGACCTCCAATATCAGTAGTTATTTGTAGAAGAATGCAAATAAATAAAAACCTCCAATATCTCATGCATCCTTCTCATGTTGAGTGCATTTGATCCTTCAATCTTGAGTCTCACAATCTCTGAGCTATTCCACTTCTCTTGAATTGCATCTACCACAGCTTGAGTAACACCTGCACCTTTAACTCTCATCTTACTCTTTGTTCGAAACATCAAATTCCTCAACCGAATCAGCTCTGATTGCGGTAAAGTCATCTTCGCTACCGAGTATCTACTCTCCTTCTTCGCTGTCCACTCTCCATTCACTACCTGCTCCTTATTCTCCTTAGAACTTACCTTTTCCCAAGGAAACTTAACTTCTCCATTGCTTCCAAAGACACCAAATGGCGATTCCTCCGAAACTCCACCTCTCGTATTCGACAAATTCCTTTCTTCCACTGACCATTTCTCCATCTTTCTCTCTTGTTCAATTTCCTTATCCTCAACCTGATCCTCCTCCACAAATCCATACTTTTTCAATCTCTCCACAATCCTCTCCATTGTACTACTTCCACCACCATCACTAATTCCACTACTGTTCTCACCACTCATGACCCCTAAATCAGAAAATCTCCCTTCTTTTCCATTATTCAGCTTCTGGGTTTTGTTCCAATTCTCCATTTTTGCCTTTTTCAAATTAGAGAAACCTAAACTCCTCGATGGAGTTTGATCACTTGTT